GAAACAAGCTCGCGACAATTAGTACTACCAACCATTATACGTTGCTATTCCTCCCCATCCGTCCGTCAGTCTTCTCGTTGCTCTGGTTTGTTGTGGCTCTTTGGATCAGTTGGTGTTCCGCTTCTTCTGGTTCTGGCTTCACATCCTCATGCATAGATGTCGACAGTACTCTTCAAACCATACTCACCGAGCTAAAGCTGAATTCAAGGCTCCAGCTGGCGCGAGCGATAGCAAGAGATGCGAATATCGTGACCACATTCCGGATGACAGGCTGAAACCTGTCAGGAGCAGACGTTGCAAGCAGATGCTCACGGCGATGATCGCGCCGATGACGATGATGATGATGATGATGATCATATCACCATCAACAACAACATCGTAATCATTGTCCTCCTCGTCCTCCCCCCCCCTCGTCACCATCATCACCCATATGATCACCATCATCATCATCATTATCATCATCACCACCACCTCCACCACCAGCATCATCGTGTTCTTCATCACAGGCATAGTCGTATTCATCGCCACTAACGCCACCGGAGATGGAGCATAAGCAGCCCATGATCTTGTTTATGACGATGGCTATCATAGCTTTTCTTGTCCATTACCAAATTGGCCTTCCTGGCAGTGAGAGTCAATCCTCGCCAAATCAAAAGCCCTGCCGCATTCCACCCGTTCCTGGTGGCCGCATCGTCCTCGGGCCGCAAGATGAGAGGATCGAAACGGCAGTGCAGAAACAAGTAGGCAATCTGTGGACCTGCATGAAACCGTACGGCACTAATCTCTGGTCCAGGCTTCGCACAAACGTCACCTTTTCGCAGCAGACCCTGTCCTCAACTGACAAGGGCTCAGTACGCAGGAATCGCCTTACAGACCCACTCTTGCCCAGGCTCCAGAGGGCCATACTCCACTCCTTCACGCACAATGTCCTGCTCTGCGCAGCGTCCTGTGAAACGTGAGGCATGAACCTAGTAGAGGTTTCCTGTCTTCAGGGCTATGTCTCGAGTAATGATTACAACAACCTCTGGTATGTTCAGACTGTATTATAGACTATAGTTACTAGGCTATACTTATATAGGGACTCCATTGGGGATATCACGGGCAAATGATTCCTATTGCCCCAAAACCCCGAAACTTGAAACCGTAAAACCCTGGCTTTTGTTGGGAATATTACACATGATCAGGGTTTAGATTTTAGGGTTTAGGGTTTAGGGACGTTTATTGGATAGATCACAAAAGCCCATGATTAGTGAACGCAACTTGCAATTACCAATGCCCGCTGCACCTCGCCTCCTTGCCATGATTGCAGCTGGATGTTCTCGGCACATGACACCTCAGGGCACATTCTCTGGCATGGGCAGTTCCCGAAATCCATGAAAATAAGATGTCGTGGTGTTCGACACAAAGGATCCTTGAATACCTCAACATACGGTGCAGTGGCGGCATCCTCGCGCTCTAACCCCGGATGAACTTCAGTCGCCTTGGCTGCATGGCTGCACCGCGGCAGTTTGATGTCCTGCTTCACCGGGCATACGAACTGGGCCGCGCTGCCGCGCTGGTAGGCTTGTTTCAGCCAACATTTCACCCTGGCTGTGTGCTCGCAGATTGGCACGTAGTCAACCATCTGCTCGCATTTCGGCACCTGCCGACAACACAAACAGCAGCGGAGAGAAATCGGCCAGAAGACTGATCTAGTGATGTGGGTTTCAGGAAGCCTGACAGTTGACCTTTGGCGGTGATCAATATTGCAAAAGCTCACCCCAGAAAGGCCTGACTTCTTCCGGCGTTGTACTCGTTCAGCATATAGCACTTGACATCCATCGTGTGCCTGCAGTCGGGGTAGACGTACCTGAGCACAATGCCAAAGTGTCGTAAACTTACAAGAAGATACAGCTAAATCTATGTTGAACAGCCTCTGCAGCTTTGGAGCGGTGTGTGAGACAGTTCCTCACACTGCGGCCAGCTCTTCTGTCCGCTTTGAATGTCTTCCTCGTCTCGGCATGACATCTCTTTCTCGTGCATGCAAGGGAGCGTCACCTTCACTTTGATGGGACAGCGATATGTCCGCAGCGCTTCGTCGATCGTCTCATGCTTGCTTGCATCACCTGGACGGACTACACCGCACTTTGTTCAAGAAAGGCTCACATGCGAGATGCAACCAGTATCGACTAATATCCGCCAGGAGCCTTGTGTGCAGTCGAGCAGCTGTTGGCGAAGACAGATTCGCAGGTGACATCCGCTTCGTGACGGGCACACGGCGATGGAACGGCTGCCATGCACTTCTTGTTGTGCTTCTGCTGCGGCCAATGGCACTTAAGACCACAGGCATGGGAGCATGGAAGCCGGACTTGACATGGAACACCGCAGAAGCCCAGCTTGAGCTCTTCTGCTTTCACTGCATCGAAGACGGACTGTGGATGCTGTGGACAACAGAGCGGAAGCTTGGAGCCCACCCGCGGCCTCTCAAAGACCTCTGCCACACCCGGGTCAGCATTGTCGGTCTTTGAAGCTGGCTCCTGCAACAAGGCAAATGTCCGCTGCCAATGCTCGATTTCCTTCCGGGAGTTCTCAAAGTAGCCGGTGTTGCCAAGGATGTACATACCCAGCCTGGCACGGGAGAGCAGAACGATCATCCGGTTCCTGAGCTTCACGAAGGGCGTGCGAGAATGCTCGTCCACCACCAGGGATGCGATGACGATATCTGCCTCGTCACCTTGGAAGCGATCCACCGTTGACAGCCGTATTTGGTCAGTGTTGTCCCAGTCTCTGGACAAAAGCTTTTCCTCGGATTGGTCAGCGAAAAGCAGCTTTCGCATCAGCATCAACTGGCCCTTGTATGGTGTCAAGATCACGATGGATGTCTTTGGCACACCACACTGCACCAAGTAGTAAGCTAGCCAGACAGCCATGTCTGCTTCTTGACGGTTGACTTTGGACATTCCAACGTCCGCCTTCCCCTGGCTTCCCGAGTGTGTCCACAAGAAGATGTTGGACTGGACACCCGGAACCTCCCTGCCCTTGCCTGCGCTCTGCTTGGCAAGTGAACCTGGGATCTTTCGTGTTGAGCAGACCTCGTGGTCCTCGATGGCAACGATGCTCTCGTAGTACTCCCGCGTCAGATCGCAGATGTGCGAGCGCATGCGGCGCTGCGTCTTGAGCACCGCGGAGGGCACCCGGTGGTCCTCCGGGGCCCGGATGAGGCGCTCGAACATCGAGACCTCGGCTTCTCAAGTCAGTTGCAGGTAGCGTCTGCGCTTATAGGCTACTGTCCTATAGGGTCGATGGAAAGCTCACCCTTGGGCTTCAAAAAGAGCGGCGTTGACGCTGTTGACCCTTTCGAAGGCGAACTTTTGCATGATAGATGGCTGGAGCTGCAGATGGTCACCGATCATTTCCAGCTTCAGCGTGCTCTGGCAGAAGCACGAGAAAAGAAGCCTCGGCCATCGCGGCATCGTCCAATCAACTTCTGTAGCATGTAGGGGTTCACAGCTACAGCGGATCAATATGCCTATACCCATATCTAAACTTGTAGCTTTACACATCGACATGAATATCTTCAGGTTATAGGTGTGCATACAATGCACAGATGACGGATTGCGTATGAAGAAACATCTGTGATCACCTTGCTCACATTGAATAGAAAGCCCTTTACCTCCCACAACCTCTAGCTCACCCCCAAAAGACAAAGACGCCAGTGCACCCCCAACATCCTAAACCCTCCACCCCCAAACCCCGAAACCCTGACAACCCTGAACCCTAAACCCCTAAACCCTAAACCCCTAAACCCTAAACCCTAAACCCTAAACCCCAACCCTGAACCCTAAACCCTAAACCCCTTTGGAGCCCCTTTTCGAGCCCAGCAGCGGCTCCAAGACCTCCGAGGCCTCCTCGACGACGATGGCAAAGGGGTTCGTGGACCGGATCGCCTCCCGGCTTCCGGATTACTAGCACTATTACTATTACTATTACTATTACTATTTCTATTTCTATTACTATTACTATTTCTATTACTATTTCTAGTGCTATTACTATTTCTATCACGATTACTAATACAATTGCTATTAGCTATTAGAATTACTATTGCTATCGGGTTTGGGCCTGGGCTTTAGGGACTAGGGCTTGGGGTTTAGTGTCGATCCCTTGAGTCTTTTCTGTTGCGACGGCAGGCGAACATTCACCGCAGGCACACGAGTTCGAGCGATGCAGAAAAGAAGGCCAGCCGCGTCTTCTTCTTGTAGTTCTAGATTGGTAGCGGAGCAGGTGCTCCAGGGTCTAGCCTGCTTTGATGGCGTCTGCCGATGCTTCTAACTTCGTGTGGGGTGATACTGATGTTCCTCACGTTGATCCTGCGCAAGACGAGGGTAATGGTGATGTTCCCAGACACCCAGAAGTAGATGCTGTACCTCTACCTCCTTTTGGTCACGAACGTAGTGCTACAAGTGAGCGACGACGAGCGCCCTCAGAACGAGGACCTTCGCGGGTCGATGCCGACCCTTGGGATCATGTTGATCCTTGGCAGAGTGGTTCCGGGCAGCATGCCTGGTGGGGACACTCATGGGGAATGAATGACGGGTGGTCCGGGCGATCATGGGGAAATGAAGCCCAGACCTACGGAACCCGCCACGACTCGAACACGTGGGGCCGCCGCTGGAGCCAAGGCGAGACTTGGACTACAGGCTCTACCGGAGCGGACTCGAATGGCGATGCAGGACCCCGAGAACGCGATCATGGAGCCCCTGACGGTGGCGACCCAGCTCGACCCGGAGGGCACGATTCTCCAGATGGAGCGGCCGGGCCTTGGACGACGATGACAGTGAAGGAGCCCCGACGACCCACGACTACCGGGAACACGAACGTGATGGAGCGAGGACGTGGGCCGTCAGAGAAAATGGTGGTACCTACCTTTTCTGGGAGTGTGGAAGCTGGAGGTGATGATCTTGGGGCGTCTGCCCGCAGTTATCTGCGGCAGGTCGCCGCGTGGCGAAAGATGACCCGTCTTTCGGCTGATCAGCAGGGACTCGTGCTGTACCAGAACTTGTCAGGCAAGGCGTGGATCGACGCGGAGAGGCTCGATGTCGATCTTCTGGGAATGGACACCGGGGCCGAGTACTTCATCAATTGGATCAAGGAACGGTACCTGGATGTCCAGATCACGCAAATCGGCCGCGGACTGAGCGACTTCTTCCGCCGACTACGTCGCAAAGATGGACAGACGATTCGGGAGTACCTGAGCGACTTCGATCGAGCCTTGGCTCGGCTCACTGAATGCGGTTGTGTCCTTCCGGACATGGCCTCAGCATGGGTCTTTGTCGACAGGATGTCCCTGGAAGAGTCTGCGGAACTAAACCTCTTGGCGAGCGTGGGAAACGAATACAATTTGAAGCGACTTCAACAAGCAGCGATCGTACAGGATCGCTCACTCCGCAAACCGTGGGGGTCCTCTACGAGGTCGGCCTCCCGAGACTCTGCTGCACCTGGACGTGGCCCCCGACGTGAATGGTGGAACAAGAAGACCAATACGGCCCACCTGACGGGGCATGGCGACAACGAGGACGACGACTACCCCGAAGCGGACCCCGGAGCCGAGAACACCGTCGAAGACATTGTCCCCGAGGCCGTGGCAGAGGAATGGTACGAGACGTTCATGACACACGAGACAGCGAAGCAGAAGTACCGGGACAGCTTGCGACAGAGAGGAACGAACAGCGAGGCCCTCCGCGAGATCGCCAACGACAGGTTGGCCCAGGCAAAGGCTAAGAGCTTTTGTGCTGGGTGTAAGAGACGGGGGCATTGGCACAAGGACAGCTGCTGTCCACTCAACCAGGGTGCCCGAAAGCAAGGAGAGCAAGGCGGAGGCAACACCACGACTTCCTCGAGCCAGAGCACTACAACCCCGGCGAGGACGAGCTATCAGTGCAGCGTGGTCTATGTGACATGGGATCTCGACAAGCCCGTCGCCAGCACACACCTTCTGGCGATCGCCGATACGGCCTGCAGTAAGTCAGTGATGGGAGCTGGATGGCTCGACTCCTACCTCAAGGAGACGGCGAAGATCGACTACAAGCCCCAGTTCCTCAACGTCAACGAGAACTTTAAGTTCGGTGCCTCCCGCGTCTTCGAGGCGAGCTATGCCGTGATTGTTACATTCGCCTTGAAGGGTGTTGTGGTGCAAGCAAAGGTTGCAGTGGTACATGGTGACGTTCCCTTGCTGCTCTCTCGTGGAGCTCTCGCCAAGCTGGGCACGGTACTGGACATTGCAGCCAACACTGCAGACTTCAAGTTCATCAATGTGAAGGGCTTCCCTCTCAAGATAACGGATACAGGCCACCCCGCAGTGCCGTTTGTTCCGATCAGGCCACCCGAGCCTCTCGAGCCTCGCAAGGACTGGGCCGGCGAAGACCTGATGATTTTGAGTTCCGAGCGCGCCTACACAGGGGTTGCAGTGCCTCCACATGCTGTTCCTGCTGTACATTCTGTTCACGTGTCGTCTACATGTAGCGAAGGGAACCCACACCAACTTGAGAACTCACAGGGCCCCGAGGACCACCTTGACGACAACCTCAACTCCAAGAACCCACAGTGTGAGCGCATCTTTTACCCTAAGAAGATTGGCAAGGCAATCCTCAACATGCTCACCGCTGACATGTTGTGTACTGAAGCGTTCATGACTTGGTGGCTCCAGACTAATGTATCCAATGACTTTTGGGTCGAAACCCCGAATCTTCTGGTGAGGGTACACGTGATCCCGAGACGCCACTTCTTCACCCCTACAGGGTGGAAGGACGGTGGACACCTGAAGAACAAGCTCCTTGAGAACCTAGGCAGAGTGCGTAGTACCACTGGCATTTCCTGCAAGTCACATCGTGCTCTTGTTCCTGTCCATGGTGTTTGGAGCTCTCATGATGAAGATCAGTATCCGGTGCTTTGGGTCGGAAGAAGCTTGTTTGCTAGGCGCCCTCGACCTATGCAAAGCCTTTCAGCCTCGCCTGGACATGTCGGCCCGGCCC